CCAGTAGGAAGTTCCTTCCTGCAGAGCTGAACTACAATATAACAAACCAAAAAGTATTAACTTCTGTACATGCCATCTAGTTATGGCATTGTTACTTAGAAGGTACACGTTTCAAACTAGTAATGGATCATTGCCCTTTGACATATCTAAAGTCACAGCCATAGCTAAGCAAGCGACAAGCCAGATGGTCAGAAATCCTGCAGCAATTTCACTTTGATTGGGAATATTGTCCAGGACAAAAGAATGTGGCTGATCCCCTTTCTCAAATCCCACCAACACCTTGTGAACAAGAAACCAGGAGGAAAAGTCAATTGGCTATATGTGGCTTAAGGGCAATGCACAAGCAGGGTAACGACCAAAGGTCGGAAAGGATGGTAGAGGCAGAAGATCTGGCCTCCAGGATCCGTCAGGCTTACAACCATGATCCTCAGCTTGAGTTTGTAAAACAACAACAAGAGTTGCACTGTACAGACGATTTATGGCTGTGAGACAAGCAAGTATATATACCAGCCAGTCTAAAGACTGAGATCTACCAGTTGGCTCATGACCATCCAAGTGCAGGATATTTTGGTCAAGCCAAAACCCTGGACTTGGTTCAGTGATATTATTGGTGGCCAGGAATGCGACGAGAGATACAACTTTATGTTGATACTTGCCTGGTTTATCAACAGGCTAAGTATTCTTATCAAAAGACCCCAGGCTTGTTATAGCCATTGGGCATTCCTAATGAGCCATGGATTGAATTGTTTATGGACTTCATTACTCAACTGCCAAAAACTAAGGGAGGTCATGATGCCATTATCATGTTCATCGATAGGCTGACCAAAATAGTGCACCTTGCAGCCACTATGACCGAAGTCTCCACAAAAAGAGCAACAGACTTATTGGTGCAAAATGCGATAAGGCGCCACGGTCTCCCCTCTACGGTAGTGTCCGACAAAGATGTTTGCTTCACTTTCAGGTTTTACCGGTACCTAGCAAAGAGGTGGAAAGTACAACTCAACATGAGCACTGCGTACTAGAGGTGGCCACTCAAGATGCCATCCGCTCCGTTAAATCCGGTTCGTTAATTTTTATCAGCTGTTCGTTAAATTCCGTTACTGAAAAAGAGAGAAAAATTCAGAAAAAACGAAAAAAAATCCAAAAAAATCGAAAAAAAACCCAAAAAATCACAACAACTGCGGCTAGTTGAAAATCTAGTATGCATAGGTTGAAATAAAATACAAACATGCTCTCTAATAGCGAATTCCATAAACTATAAGTATGAAAAAAACTCAAAAATCCCAAAAAAATCCAAAAATCCGTTAATTTTTGGTTAATTTTTGTCTTTTTTCGTTATTTTCCGTTAATTAACGGATTAATTAACGGAATTAACCTCTGTCCGCTATTAACGGATCCGGGTGGCCACCTCTACTGCGTACCATCCACAGACGGATGGCCAGACCAAAGTCATGAATTGGATTCTGGAGGACTACTTACGCAGCTATATGCATTTTGATCAAGATGCATGGGACGAATTGTTAGCCATGGCCAAGTTTGCAATGAACAATTTGAAGAATAGTTCAACCCAAAAGACCCTGTTCTATTTGAACTATGGTCGACACCCAAGGAGTCCCCTAGCTCTCTTGAAAGGCTATGACAATCCAAATGCCTGTGGCTTGGCAGTGGCCATTGATAGAGTGCAACAACCTTATTTGAGGCGAAATGGTACACCCCTCATTGAGGGATTACCAGCAGTAACACGATTTGATCACCGTGTCCAAACAGCATTGAAAGAGGCCAAGGAGTGCTTAGAGAAAGCACAAGCTAGGCAATCAAAGCATGCTGACCACCATCGGAGAGATGTGTCGTATAATAAAGGAGATGACGTCCTCCTTTCAACATAGCATATTACCCTCAAGCACCCTTGGACTTGGAAACTATTGCCAGGGTGGATTGGGCCCTTCACCATCCTCGACCGGATAGGTTATGGCGCATATCGACTTGAACTTCTGGACAACATGAGTAAGATACATACGGTTTTCCATGTTTCGAAACTCAAACCATATAAGGCTAATGGCAGAGTACCGCACCCCCAGCCGCTATCGAGATCGAAGGGGAACTGGAGTATGAAGTTGAACGTATTCCTGACAAAAGAGTAAAAAAACATAGTTGACAACAGGACTCTCTTGAGTACCTTGTCAAGTGGCTAGGTTATGGACATGAACATAACAACTGAGAACCAACAAAAGCAGTTGCAAATACACAAGAACTGGTTCAAGCATTTGAAAATAGCAAAACTCTTGTGACACATGTGCAAATTGGTTGCAATACACGCAATACGAGATGTACACGCTGATATGAGCAAGTTTGTGTTGTTGTGGCTGGCAACGCTCTGCTGGGCCCAGAAAAATATTGGGTACCAAGGTGCCAGGTCCCATTCGCAATTTGGACATATGAATGCAATGTTCATTGCGATTATGAGAGGAGAAAGAGTCCAGAGTGATGGCTCACTCATGAGGGCACCAGAACATGGGCGCAGATGAGGGCGCCAGCTCAGCTATACCCCGCAAGGATGAGGTCGCTCGTGGATGGCTTGAGGTGGACGCCGTGGGGAACGTGCAGGGTGACCCCTGTGCGTCATAGACATTTTCTGAACTTAGGCAGACCGAGAAGTCATAGTCAGGCTGATAGGTCATTGTATCATATGTATATTAGAATGACATTGAACTTTCCAGTTGGTATGCTGAAGTAAGCATTTTAATGAGGGTTGTCAGCAGGAACATTGTCCATATAACAACCACTCTTTTCCTTTTCAATGCACATGTGTTACGCACCCGCAGTGCACCCCCAAGAGGGTGGCGCCGCGGGGCGCGCCCAGGACCTGCCCAGGCGGGTGAGGCAGGCGAGGAACCCAAAACGGATTGTTACAACAGTACAATACTCCATATGTATACCAGATTGTTCAATTATCTTCTTAATTTGGTAGGCACATTTTAACTCCATAATAAAGTAATGAATGTTCCCATAAATCCCTTAGCACATAAAGACAATCCCTTAGGCCCCCATGGCCATGTCTCAATACCCCAAGGAACCGAGAGAACACAAACACTACCCACTTCACCCTAGTGCACGGAGACCCGATAGCTACATGTTGTGTCCCAAAGTTCCCAATGGCCAAATATTCACAACAACATGTGTCCTTGTAATGTGAGTGACTAGGCATGTGGCAAGACGCACAGCCAGTTTCAACTACAGCAGGCCTACCGGCCACGCATGTGTCTACTCCTATATCACCGCACTGGGACGGGGACGTCCCACCTCCCTGAGGGGGACGAATGTTATGCGCATTTGCCTGATGTGGAGGATGCTCTACTAATGGTCCCTTGGTGTGGGGGACGCCCTGCCCAAAATATAGTAACGATACCCCAACCAGTTTATACGATTGTATATGATACGGGAGTAGGACGGGGTGGTCCTGCCTAGGTCCCCGTAAGGACCTAGGTGCCCGGCGAGGCAGGTCCATGGCTCAAAGAGGGCAAGAGCCCCACACCAGCAATCCTCACATATCACTAGCCCGCAACACTCATAGAGCGGAGCAGAAACTCAAACCCTCCCCTTCACAAATGCAAGGAAATAAATTAAACGGGCCTCACTTGTGCGAGTTGCCTCAGCGGTGGTTCTGACTTGTCCACATACTATCGCAGTGGCTATCGCGGTTGCCTTTGACATGGTGTACCACGTCTCAGGCAATATGAGCAGGGTTTTGCACAAGGGTCACTTGTAATAGGGTATGCAAAAATAGCGACCCCAACTATTGGGTGGCAATCCCATGACGGACACGATGTGTCCATTACAATGTAGTAAAACACGACTAGTCCACCATGGCCCATGGGAGCATGACATTCATGATGGTAAGGTAAATTTTGTGGTGGCAGAGGATTGTCGGAGTAGTTTTCTGTAACGTGGATGGGTGTGTGGATACACCGGGAGAAGTTTGCCATGATTTGAGTTCAGGTACTGGAATTTCATATGAATCCAGGGAAAGGTCAGTGCATGCAACGCAGTTGAATGCCGATGGTGGAAGATTCGTTGGCCGCCGTTGTGCACTCAGACGCTCATGCCGTAAGATGCAGGTTCATCACTACAATGTACCGGGGAGCGCTGTTGGTGGTTAGCGGCCTCCACGTCGGAAGATGCTGGCTCTCCATTAGACTGCGCTACTAGATGCCGGTGGCACTGAGCACTGGCCGTCCAATACCAGTGGGTGTGTGGATTTTGCCGTTCCAATGGCAAATTGATTTACTTAGTAAGCCTATTACTAAGTGCACCGTCCGTAGAGGTTTCCGCTGCCGTTAACGCTAATGGCATTGGGTCCGTGCCACGTCTGCCGTTAAATAACGGCCTGCACCGCCGACCTCTAGAAAGGAGCTCTGAATCTGTGCATGGGGTGTTTTCCCCGGTGTCGATTATCCAGCCAGAAGTTGTGCATCCAAATCTCCTTTTCTGTGTTACTCCGAAGGGTCGTACCATGTGCGGGTACCGATCTTTACAACATATACAGTAATTTGTGTACCCGAACAAAGTTGGGATTTCTACTACAGCACACAGCTGTGTACTGCCTCTGTTCCCACAAATGACTGCCATGGATGGTGCTGCAACCTGATGTAACCTGCTTACCTTTGTTAAATCTTGATGCGTCATTGGGTCCCTCGCAACGCGCAAACGGGAGTGGGGAGGTCACGCCAATTCACCCGTCGTGGCAAGAGCAAACGATCGTTACACCTCCAGCCTTTTTACTGACAATGACAGATACCGTTCTCTCCTTCGAGGGTTCGCGAACCTACCCCACAAGGCGGCTGCCCTCCATCGATACTGTACAATTATTAAATGAAATCCCACGTCCCATTCATATTACCAGCCGTAACACCTTCAGCGGAAAACACACAGTGTAAGAGTTGCTCTTGCACAGAGAAAGCTACCCCGCTTGGTGGAGGGACACCGGTTCACCCCCAAGGACAATGCCTCGCGTGAAGAAGCCTGGAGCCTTGGGTGATCTGGTGTCCGTTGCCAACGTCAAGAACAACATTGCTGTTGTCAGTTTCTGGTGCGTGTGCTGTGGCTCCTTATTCTGCTCGATGGAGCGCCCAGTGGTCGGCGTGCTTCGCATTTGCGCTGGGGTGACCACGACCGTCGCGAAAAAGGCGCCATAGGATAAGATGGGAGTGATAGAGCAGACGCTGTGTCCGCGTGAATCGCACGTCGTGCACAATAGAATCTGCCAGGGGGAACGGCGTTCAGCGTCGTTGTTGCCGCCAAGGCGCCCGGCGTGTGTGTGTGTGGGGGTGGGGGGTGGGGGGGGGGGGCGGCGGCGAACGTCGCTGTGCCTGGAACCCCAAAAGCGCTGTGCAGTGTCGAAACAAGGAGAACCAAATCCTTTGATTACTTTTGTCTCCACGAAACGGCGTTGCGATGTTGAGATTGGACGCGTTTTGTTGTTGCGGCAGCCGGGTCATCACATCCGTTCTGGCAGGGATAGTGGCAGGAATCCTGGGCATAACGGGCTTGGCTGGCGTCCTCATCTACCTGGTATTCCATGCGCTGGTGAGCCGAGAAGGGCAGGGAAAACATTCACGTGCGGTTCACATGGTTTTTTGCATGGCTCTTGTTGAATTCCTCACGGCGTTGGAGAAGTTTTGCGCACCCAAAAGAACAGACGTTGATCCTTATCTGGGACAAGTTATCTGGGACTGCAGAGTGTACACTTCCCATGTATGCGCACATTCATCAGCTCTGTTTGACAGTCTTTCCATTGTTGGATGTATGCTGAAGCAGAATGCTGCCTACTGTTGTCTGTTCTCGCCTTGCTTTTGCCTACAGATTTCTACATTATCTGTTACAGTATGGGAAAGAGTCTCACCACTTTTGCTCAAAGGGGGGGGGGAGCTCTTGTAACTCTTTCTCTATTATCAAAGAAACTTCTGATGCATATTGGAGCAATTCATGTGAATTGCTATGATAGATGCCAAGGCACTGGATAATAGCAGAGCATGAAATTGATAGCTGGGAGCTGTGGTGCTCGTGAAGATCTTGACAACTGCAGCTTCCCTGACATTATTGCTGCAAAGAATGAGCTGGACCACTCTTCTGTTCCCTGAGGACATCTATTGGAATTTAGTACTTGACCTCTGAGATGTGTGATCATCTAGTGTGTGCTTTTGATGAATCTTGAGCAGGCGGGATTGGCTATGAATGGAAAAGACAGGAAACCTGAATCTCATATCTGGCACAAAATGTGTATCTGCCGCTAGATGTGGTTCTTGCACGTGTTGCAGTCGCTACACACCACATGAGTCTAGTGCCAATGGGTGGTGCATATTTGTGCCCCAACCACCATTGCTGTGGTGGCAAACATGAGGCCATGATTGAATTTGTTCTGTCCAGAGAAGCTGATTCATACAGCTGCTGATGGACAATACTTGTGGCAGGAACATCCTTCCCAATGCAAGTGGGAAGGGAAATGACCTACATTATGTGATATGCTTCAGGTGCCCACCTACCGATGTGGATGCTCCACACACGCACACACACACACACACACACACACACACACACACACACACACACACACACACACACACACACACACACACACACACACACACACACACACACATACCGCCATTCCACAGCTCACTGAAAGTCCTCTAGCAGATTAATTAATATCCCCGCAAGTGGGTGAGGCTTACCACTGATTGGTACCCGCTAGATTATACCCCACAGGTATCCTGGGTTGCATGAAGGCACGTGCACGATCTCACAGGGCGTGACAGCATAGGTTTGGGTTTAGGGGAATCGTTGTAATGGGGAGAGGCGCCATGCGACCCAAAATACCCCTGATAATACCCAGCATTCAAAGAACAATCCTAGATGCATACTGACTGCAATGTTTGGCATTAATTCATGCTCACTCCACTGCTGGTCCGGGTGCTTATGTATTGCAGGTGGCTGTGCCTTTGCTGTTGAAAGCGAGATTGGATGTGAAAAAGTACTTCAGAACATGGTGAGGAGTCGTTTTGTGCCACATGTCATGTGTGAGAAGCAAATCGCCCAACAGGTCGATCAAGGTGCTGTGGATGATCACTGTGCTTTGTTGTTGCTGGCCTGCTGTAGGGGCTGCATGTCTAGGCAGTGCTCAGTGAAGCACAATTTCATAGTGACACCAACTTCAGTATTCCCCACTCTTCTGTTATCTTGAGAACATTGCTGCCATGCCCAATTGCTGCAGTCTTTGCCTGGCTCTTTTGGGGTGACACTCTGTTGAGTTTATTTTGCTTACTGGGTGGGGAGGGAAAGGGGGGTTGGGTTACCATATGTTGCTCGTCGAAAGGAAATGAGGTAATTGAAGGGCGTTGCCTCCAAGGCAACTGTGTGTGAGACTCTGTGGCACAGTACAGAAGGATGGCATAGAGTTATTCATGTGGATGAGCACACAACACAAGCACCACAAAGATCAAGAGAACATGCACAAAAAGGGGGGGTGGGGTTGAGTGGGGCGGGGGAGGCCGTCTGAAAGTTCAGCGCGAATCTGCTGTTGAGGACATTTGGTGTCGCCCCTTGGCGGTGCTCCATTGGAGTGTGATATGCTGTCACGTATTTGTCTCATCAGTGGGAAAGTTGAATAGACACTTGTGGGAAATGGTGAAAGCATCAATGTAATCATTGTGGTGGGTGGGGTCCTCTTTCATATGACTCAGGTTGCTTCTGCTAGATGATTCTGCCCTGCTTTCGCCACCGAGCAATCCCTCACATTGAGTACTATGAAATATGGTGGCTATGAAAGCAGTTGGAAAGTTGCAAGGTCCACCGTTGCAGCAACCGCCGTATGGAACTGAATTTGTGACAATTTGTCTTGCAGGACAACTCCATTTCTTTCCTTCGTCTTCACATCTCAATCTATGCTGTCCTTCCTGCTGTTCTGGATCATTTTCTACAATATGGCACATGTCTTCTAGCTGAATAGCACGACCTGCGCTGCCGAAGAATGCACTGTTCCGTGGCTTTCACACGGCAGCCAAGTTCAAAGTAGGTCTGAATTAGATTGAAGCACAAGCACTACGGCACTGCGCCCAAGGTTGCAATGAGCTATTGTGGAGCAACCTCCCTTGTACTGCAACTCCCCCTAGTGAGGAGCACTGCTGTACCCTTGTTAGGCACCAGCCACCCCCAAGCTTGGAGCAGATGCTCAGTGCTTAGCCCGCTATGAGGACTGACTGAATCGCATGGCAGTGGAGTAGGAAGGGTGGTTGTGTGATGCAGGTTGCCTAATGTTGTTACTCTGTACTGCCGTTGCTCCTTTGAGATGAGAGAGCACATTCTGATAGGCAAGGCGTTTTGACATTCACGCCACAGCTCCGTACATGCCCCTTAGTACTGGGCGAAGTTGCTACTTCTTGGCATTGCAGCTGTCAATCGCACATGGTGTAAAGTGCGCTCCCATTGGTGAGTTGAAGGACGTGTGAGATCAGCGTGGGAGCACCTTGTGGAAACAAGGCATCCCCACCAAGATACCGAGGCTGCTGCGCAGTACGATGTGTTTCTGACCAGATTGCAGCATTAGCATTCGGTCTGAAGTGCAGAATGCGTGCGATTGAAATGGAGCTCCATTTGGAGAAAACATATGGGTCACACAGGAAAGCTGTTCCGGCACTCACACACCAGCAAATCGCTCTGCCAATCACACTCCTTACAATCTCTTTTATCATCAATGAGAGACCACTGCTACCACTCCTCGAACACGTTTTCCTTGTCGGCTGGTTTGATTCAAACACAAGTGGCCCAACCACACAAGTGCAACATGGTTCCTGAAGGAAGCCTAGTCTAGAGTATTCAAGCAGACATTCTCTGCCAATTGATCTCACTCGCACAGGAGAACTGGGGCGGTCTTCCCGTCTCCATGCATTAATTTGATCGGCACCTTTATTTGGGTAAAGGACCTTGCTAGTGTCCACACACTCTGTCCAAATTCCTTCCACGTAGTCTATGCCGCGTTCCTTCAGCAGGCGCTAAAACACCAATTCCCGATAGTCGCTTTTCAGTGCAAGAACTCGTTTTGCCCCGGAGCCTACCCACGGGGAGGCGCACAAGTGTGTGCTGCCCGCCCCTCTCGATGCTCGCTCCGGTGCAGCGTGACGCCCACGCACATAAGCAGCTGCGCGTCACACACCCTGGGGAGGCGCAAGGATCTGCCACCTGCCGGCCAAGCCCCGCCCATCCATCGATACTAATACACATTGTCCCCCATCAAAAACTTGGCGATTTCGGAGTGTCCAAGGGCCACTGCCAGCACCACCGCGCTGCACCCGTTGTCGTCCTCCGCGCCCACCTCCGCGCCCGCCGCCACCAGCAGCTTCACCACGTCCAGCTGCCCGCCCATGGCGGCGACGTGCAGGGGCGTCACGCCACAGCCGTCCACGACGTTCACGGCCGCGCCCGCCTGCACCAGCCGCCCCACGGCGTGCGCACTGCCCATGCCCGCCGCAGAGAACAGCGGCGTGCGGCCGCTGTCGTCCTGCCACTCCATGTCGGCGCCCACTTCCAGCAGCGCCTCCACGACCTTGACGTGGTTCTTCGTGGCGGCGACCTGCAGTGGCGTCATCCCCAGGTGACAGCGGTGGTCCACGGGCACACCGGCCAGATGCAACCGACTGATGACGTCTACGTGCCCGTTCGCGGCGGCGAGGAAGGCCGCTGTTTGCTCCCGCGCGTCCCGCGCGTCCACCCTCGCGCCCAGCCCCACCAGCGCCTCCACTGCCTCGGCCCGCCCTTTGCTGGCGGCCATGTGCAAAGGGCCGTCCCCTCGTGAATCCGCCTCGTTCACCTCCGCGCCGCACTCCGCCAGGAACAGGACCATGTCCACAATGCCGCATGACGCCGCGTAGTGCATGGGGCCTCGCCCCCTGTGGTCCTTGGACTCCACAGAGGCGCCGGCGTGCAGCAGAGCCCGGGCGACGTCCAGGAAGCCCCCCACGGCGGCCACGTGGATTGGCGCAAAGCCGCGCTCGTCCACATCGTTGACATCCGCGCCCGCCGAGATGAGCGCCTGCACGGCGTCAAGGTTGCCGACGCCGACCGCGTAGAAGATGGGCGTGCGCTTCTTGGCGTCTCGCGCGGATATGCTGGACCCCGCCTCCAGCAGCGCCTGGATTATGTCTGGTCCGCCGCATTCTGAGGCGATGTGGAGCGGCGTGGCCGCCTCCTCTCTGCTCGTGGTGCACATCTGCTCCTGGTCGATGCTCAGGAGCCGCACCGAATCCACGTCGCAGCGCTCTATGGCGTCCAGCAGGGAGGTCGCAGGCTCCTCTGCTGCAGTCATCGTCTGCTTTTCTATTCCACGGCACGCGGCCCCCAGGTACAGTCCAAGCCCCCGATCTGCACACACAGGTGGGCGTCAGCGTCCCGAGCACAATAGTTTAGGCGTCGGGGGCAATCCGCCAAACCGATCATGCTGTACCGCGAAAGGCGCATGGTGGCGGGCGTGGCACAAATGGGGGCGCCAAGGTGCGAATTCTGCTGCGAGGTACAGGCGCAAGGCTCACCGTCTTGGGCAAGCCTTGATGGCCCCGTCCCACACATTGCGCCACGGCGGACGTACGAGGGTCGTTGAGTGGGGGTTTACCAGCAACGGATAAGGGAGGGGTCAGGGGGAATTAGTGTGGCGCTGACAGCCTGCACCCAAAGCCCCATCCGAGCGTCGCCTGTCAGCCGCATCGCCCTGGGAGAGGGGCCTCCATGCGGGAGATCCCCACTCCAAGGGGGGGCTCTTTGGACATGAATGACGCTGGCGCCAACATGCACAAGCCATCCAAAGCCCATGGAGAAGTTCGTGGTGAGCTTTCACCCCAAAACAGTGTACTTGCAACTGCTCAGTGCCTCACTTCCCCTGCAAGGTGTCGTCTTTCGATGCGTGGAAGCCTATTGCATGCAACACGTGTCCCATTGCCAGACAAATCATAGGTAAACCACGGGACGCCCAGGCAAGCTCTCTCATACACATGTTATCCCAAGGACCTGGCAACTGTGCTGTTCCACCGGTAATGACATATCACCGCAGGAGGGAAGCGACGAGATGTGGTGCGCCAAGGAATAAGCAAAGGCAGCAAAAGCCTTGCCAAAACAATGTCCCACCTACTCAACTCTGGTTCCAAGATGTCTCCCACTTTCCAGGATGCAACTGTTTGGGTCAAAACGCAGCAACGCACTATACGATTTGTGGAATCCACGAAAATTCCCAAATTGCCAGCTCAGCTCCCTGCAGGCAACCTTGAGAACGTAGTGAGTTCCATGCTGTTACGGATTGCGCCACAGTCGAGACTACGCGCTGCCTTTGCACCGTAAGGTTTGGGCTGCAGTTCCGTCGAAACTAACGAGTGCGTGCGACCGAACGTCCGCAGTGGACACTGCACGCTTATTCAGTTCAGTTGCGGAAATTGTGCCGCAAGCAGGTGCTGACTAGCGCAACGCAGCCCCATAGCGGGCACCGATGATGCAATCATCGGTTCCCTTCAATCTTCCCGTGGTGCAAGGCGCGGCGCACCCCTTGAAGTGAAAGTATGAGAGCCATCTAAACCCTCAAAGTAAACTTACAGTTACTGAGCCAAAAAGGAATCGCTCAGAAGAAATTGCTGCCGGTGTTCAGCACTTCGCTGCAACCCTTCAGCATTTTGACTCGTGGGCAACTCATATGTTGGGGCAACCACATGTTCCAGCGACGCACCTGCACCGCATGACCCTTCATGCTTCCTACGACGCTACAAAGTTGCGCAACCTGTCTTGGGCAGGCAGCCCAACATCACCGCACAACGATCCGTTCCGTGGTTTCAAGCAACGAGGAAAACCAAACCCAAAGCTGTCGCACCGTCTCGTCCTCCCCTCCTAAAACGCAAGGTCGTGCGATTGCTCAAGCATCAACGCGTCCAAGGCGTGAACATTGCTAATCCAGCGCTCAGTAGCGATGTCACTGATCGCCAACGCCCTATCCGCGCAACTTGGTGACCTGGAGATGCGTGTTGCCAACTTTAGATAGTTTTCTTAGCTGATTGTCCGCAAAACAACTGCAAAACAATTTGCTCCTGCATGACTCTGGTGGGCCCCTCAACCGCCGAGGCGCCACCAGGACTTCACTGGTGCAAGGGATATCGTCCCAGAGTATCGCAGTGGTCCATTCACCCCGACAAGGCAACAGGACGAATGGCCTCAATCGACTGCGCCGGTTTCGAACCCTGGCATCACGAACTCGCACAACTACACCCCATACTCAGCCCACCCACCGCTCACCCAGTTGCCACCGTCGTGATCAGTCGCCCACTGCCAGTGCGCGCGGCAACCCAGTGCCTTCTGGACCCGACACCCGGCCCTCTCGGAACACAAGGTTGCCTGTCACCTCCCGTTATTCCAACGAGCGGTCGGGGCGAGACAACGACGGAAATGAGGTGAGCCCCGTCCACAACACAACGCCCGAAGTACTGCCCAAAGGCCCACAACGAGTAATTCATTATCGCCCGCGAACCAGCCGCGAACCCCGGTCCCCCGGGCTCCGGGCCGGACCGGTTTCGGCCCGCGGCGGGCGCCACGTCGGACGGGGGCGCCCCGGCGGGGGCCCGCCCCTCGGCGGGGGCCGGGGGCCTGGGGTCCGGCGGGTGGGCGCGGGGGGCGTGGCGCCGGCGCCGCCGCCACGCCGGAGTGGCGGCGCACGGGCCAGCGGCCTGCGGCCGCCCCGCGGCGCTCCGCGGCACCGGGGAGATCCGAGCCGGTGCTTGGCGCGGCGCTGGGACGCCGGTTGCGCAATGGCAGCGGGGCCCGCTGCCGGCCGGTCGCGCGCCCGCCTGGACCACAGACAGCGCATCTTCAGGGACCGCTAGGCTCCCCATCGGCCCACTGACCTGGGGCGGCTGCCGCTCTGGGCAGGCAGCTCGTTGCGTTGACGCGGGGCAGCCCATGAGGCGGGCTTGCAGGGTCCGCGTACGCAGCGATCGGCCAGGGTGGACAAATGTTCGAGGTGCAGCCGCACGCCACAAGGCCTCTAGCTGTGAAAGGACAAAGCAAAGCAAAGCAAAAGCCTGCGGGCTGGCAACAGTGTGTGTCGTAGACTTCCAGGGTCGGGGGGGGGGGTTCACACACCTGTCCTGCAACCTCATGCGCTGGCGGCGGAGCCAGAGGGGGGCCGCGTCCGCCTGAAAAGCATCGGAGAGTCGCCGCTTGCCGTTGGAGAGCATCGGAAAGTCGCTTGCTTGCCGCCTGACGCTCCTGTGGCCGCTCGCCCACTGCCGGCTGGCGCTGGAGGTGTGGGGAGCTGTACAGCAGGGTTGCCAGCTATTGGGTGGGTGTGCGAATTACAAACTCATTCCGCACAACAGCACATTTTGCGCGATCGGTTGGGTGTCCCCTCCGATGCGTGGCTGAGATCTCAATCAGCTTAATGAGCCACTGCAAGATCCTTGGCTGGGCGTGGAGCTGGGAGCGCTGTGGGCGGAGTGCGGAGCGCTGTGGGCGGAGTGCGGAGCGCTGTGGGCGGAGTGCGGAGCGCTGTGGGCGGAGTGCGGAGCGCTGTGGGCGGAGTGCGGAGCGCTGTGGGCGGAGTGCGGAGCGCTGTGGGCGGTGTGGGCGGAGTGCGGAGCGCTGTGGGCGGAGTGCTGTGCGCGGAGTGCCACCGGTTCATCGCTGCCTCGCCAAGGGTGTGTCATGGGGCACTTGCAAGCTTGGCCTTCGCAGCAAGGTGTGGCATCTTTGAGCGGATGAACTGTGTGCGGACATGCATTGACGTTGCGCCACCCTTCATGACAGACTTCGAAGAGCTCATTGGTCAAAACCACCAAGCTGCTGGGGCTGCTGCACTACCAAAGGATGTATGGGAATGCAAAGGTGAATCCTGTGCTGAAGTGCTTGGAAGACATCTCTAACACACCCGAACTTTGTCTGTGTTGCTTATCATGTGCTTCTGACTCCGAGTGGGCCATGTCCATGCATCTCCCGCCGATGTGACAGACAAACAAAATCCAACGAGCGGGTTACCCCCTGGTCGGCCTAGTCTTGCTTGTTGCCCAAGGTGTGTGAATGTGAATATTTTCCTTTGCAGCTTTGCTTCAGTGATCAACCACGAACCTTGGAAGCTACAGGCTGATGTCAGGCGTAAGCCTGTTTGCAGATAGTATGGAGCACAATAAACAAATAAAGAAATAAGCAATGGTACAGCAAAAAATGAAGCATTGGGCAAGTGGGTGAATAATTCCAGTTGTACTCAATATATTCCGACACCCCGTGGCCTGTGCCCCCCCACATGTGCCAATGAGGCATTGTTCAGCTGGTCGCCCTGCTGGCTTGCATGCTTGAATCGTTGCACATATATGTTGGCGTAGGTGTCGTGGATTTGACTTTTGCACACGACGTCCTGGCCGTGCAGTTGCCAGACCTGCTGGAGCACCTCGCCCACTGTGATAATACAGACTCGAGGCAATGTTGCCCTACGGCCTGAAGGCGCTGGTCAAAATGACCAAGGTGCTGGGGCTGGTGCAGTACGAAAAAAATGCATGGGAATGCCCAGGTGAATGCTGTGCTGATGTGCTTGGACAACATCCAGCGCATTCGCACCCATAAATGCAGAAAGACCTGGATGTGGAAGAAGCAGAGGCATTGCGCCCCAGCTTTGTGGCCACACATATGTCAGCTACCATCGAATTGTATGTACCCTGTGGTGGTACATGTTACTGATACTAATATTTAGCCAATTTAGTTAGGTGTTGACTTTGTTCAGATAAGATAACAACATAACAGTGCTGCATGTACTGTTGTGATCACTGATGTTCTTGCCATCGTTTTTACTGTCATTGAAATAGTTTCTTTGCCTTGCACTGGCATTCAGGAACACACTCTGGAACTTCTGTTGTTTGATGAGTTTGTTTGCGCTCTATGGTGTCTTGTGCATGTGTTGCCTGTGTGCATGGATTTTAGCTCCTCAAGTCATTGCTTGTTGTCTGCCAGTTTAACACCTTGCCAGTATGTTTGATGCCTGCTGTCCAGGACATTTCCGTCAGAAGCATTAGCAGAGGGCTCGTTTCAGTGCTTGGACGTTGCATTGATTTTGATGCATTCACACAAAGTCATGCTTGTATCGTCGTGCTTGTGAAGGAACATATTGTCAAGTCCCTGTCCGCATGTGAAACTGAAAGGTGGACCCCAGAACAGTGTTTCTAGTTGGCAGTGCAGACAAGGGCTCTTGCCATGGCATGTGTCTTTGGCCAGTGTCATCGGCCTCTGTGCTTCCGGCTGTCTGCATAACCTCACCATGCCCAGCGAACAAGAGTGCACCCCAATCTAATG